TGCTAGACGCCAACGTTTTGTCTATTTCTGATTCCTCAAAGGCTAAAAAAAAAGTACCTGACATATATCCATGTTTTGCAAATCAAAGTAAAATATGTTAAAATTCATCTTGCAGGCTAGCACACTCACGTCTCACACAGCTCTCTGCTTTTTACTGTGCAGGAATCAAGCGAGTTCCCTTTTTTATATATCTAAAACAATATTTTTCTAGCATTCAAGATTTTTCACTATTATATCCTCAATCCTACCAAGAAAATTGAAGTCAACAGGTTCATAATACCTTTTTAATGTTACAGTATCTGTCCTTTTTTTTTTTTCTCTCTCTCTCTCTCATTCTGCTAGAAATATTTCTACTTTTTTTTTTTGAGACAGAGTCTGGCTCTTTCTTGCAGGCTGGAGTGCAGTGGTGCAATCTTGGCTCACTGCAACCTCTGCCTCTCTGCCTCCCAGGCTCAAGCTATTCTCCTGTGTCAGTCTCCCGAGTAGCTGAGACTACAGTCGCATGCCATCATGCCTGGCTAATTTTTGTATCTTTAGCAGAGGTGGGGTTTCACCATGTTGGTCAGGCTGGTCTCAAACTCCTGACCTCAGGTGCCACCTGCTTTGGCCTCCCAAAGTGCTGGGATTACAAGCATGAGCCACTGCCCCTGGCCTCTACTTTCTTTTCAAAGCTTCCCCATCTGTACTTTTCGGTGAATTTATCCAGTATTTCATTTGCAAACAGCGCCAGTTTCTGTGATGTAGTGTAAATGGCTGATATGGGGTGGGGGTGGGGGTGGGTCTCCTGTGAGGAAAATACATAAAGAAGTGCCAAAAGGACCACTCTGGAAGAAAGCACATTCCCTTCCCTGAACCTTCACCAATAATGAGTCCTGAATCAGCTCACTATTGAGAATTTTCCGTGTTTTCTTTTCCATACTAATTCTTTACATCTGCCAGTAATTAAGACACATATCTCACCTTAGCATTAAAAATAACTAACTAACTAAAGAAATCACTCTTGCTGCCACCTCTTGCTGCAATCCCAACTTTCTTTTAAAACAAAGCTCTTCCAAGAGACTCTTCTGGTATCTTACACTTTTCTCTTCTGTATTTTTCTTTCCACTACTTCTTTCTCAAAACTGTTTTTTGAAAGTTCACCAATGTCCTCCTAATCACTAAACCCAAAGACATCTGCTACATTTTAATTTTCCTGAACCTTGGTCTGTGATCTTATTCCTCTCCTTAAGTCCTTATTCAGAACTTTGGTTCTGAATCATCTCTCCTCCCCCTGGTCTCCAGTAAGACCATGCGTACTCATATTAACTCAGCTTGTTTCTAGTCTTTACTAGAATCAGACTTTTTTTCTGTTTTTTCTTTTAATTTTCTTCTGGGAGTCTACTGGTGGAGCTCAATTATCTCCTGTATGATTAGCATTCCCAAACTGACACCTTTTGTTCTAATCAGGCCTCGAGTATGTGTCTGTAACTTCGTTTTGGAATTGTCATCTTCACTTATCACTTAATATTGCTAACCCTGAACTCATCATGTTCCATCTAAACTGCTCTGTGTTAATGGTCCTAATTCTTATAGTACTCAGTTTCAAACTCTTGTCCCTCTTATCTTCCTCTGCCTATCTAGTCAATAAAGTATAGCATTATCCAGATTATTCCTTCACAGTAATTGCTGTAAGAGTTGCCATCCACAAGTATTTATACAGAAGTTATAAAAAATTCACATATATTCAAATGTGTCCCACACTCTTCTCAGTTCAGACTTTTACTAAAGCTTTTTCATCCACCTTTTCCTCTTTACTTTTGAAAGTTTATCCATCCTTAAAGCCACACCTCAGATACCATCACTTCTCAGAGGTATTTCCTAGTCTACTAGGGAGTAAGAAATACTCCTCCACCTAAATCCTATCTCACTTTGTATATATGCAGTCTTTTTTAATTTTATTTTTTGATATGGAGTCTCATTCTGTTGCCCAGGCTGGATGCAGTGGCACAGTCTTG